AGGTGAAGAGGCTGCAGGATCCAGGTAGGAGGAGCTGATTTCATAATTATGTGTCTCACAATGTTTATCAAAGGGACGCTGGACCCGGTTTCCAGCAAGTGCTGCTCCCCACAAATAGAATGGAGCTTTCGACTGTTAAAAAAAAAAAAACAAAAAAAAAAACGGATGCTCCGAGGATGAGTGTAACGAAGATGACAAAAACCCTAAACTTTTCCGAGGATTCATCCTCGGAGCTCGAGGATGCCCCGAGGAGTGTCTAACAACGCCCTTACTGGTTGTCTTTTGTCCCCTCGACGTTTAAGGTTTGGGATTGCATGTTTTTCTGTTTTTCTGTTTAAGGGTTGTCTTTTGACTTGAGTCAATCAGGTGCATGTTTCCCCCTGAAGTAATGTGTCGATACGGGGCACAGTATCTGTGCCGGAGATACTGTACACACATCAACACACACACACAACAGTGCAGTGGATCATATTGTGTGCCCTATTGGAATACTCCAAATGATCTCTTGGACGCTTATTGAACCATGATAAATGGCCTGCCTACTTACTTGGGCACAGACTCCGCACAGTCAGTGCAGCCGATACAGAACAGAGAACTTCGAAGCGTCTAATAGTATTCATACCCTTACCCTCCATCACTGCAATCATCTGCCCAGCATTTCTCTGCCCTCCACCTAATATGCACAAGTGTGCACTTGACATAATTGTCAGAATCTAAGTACACAAACAGCCTGCTCAGGTTTGAAATGCCAAAACTAGCTCTGTCAGTCAGTGTCAGATATCTTCATGTATCATTGCTTTGCTTGCCGGGGATAAGTCACCAGACTTGCACCCGCCAGAATGCAAAGCACCTGTTCAAGTTTAAAAAAGAAGAAGAAGAAGAAGAAGAAGAATGCACGCGGTTGTGCAGCTGCTGGGTGCATTTTAGTGAGGCTAGTCTCCTCGTTTCAAACGTAAAGCTGCTATTTTACTGCTATTGATGAATTTGATATCCCTCATACCCACAGGTATCTTCATTGGAGAACCATAGATCGAACTTCATATCAGTGCCCTCCTCTGCCATGATCGTATAATATGCGCAAACTCGTACCAATCAGGGCCCTTGAAACCTCAATTACGAGGGCAATCATTGGAGCCCTAGAGGGTCAATAGACTGAATAGGATCCGGTAGACAACTTGAATGCCTTTGTTGTTGGGTTCTTTTTTTTTTTTTTTTTTTCTTTCTTAAGAAGTATCCCATCTATTGCTGGGGAGCAGCACCCGCTGGAAAAGGGGTCCAGGATGAATGCTCTAATACCTCTCAGGCTGCCTCTGAGTCTGAGTCAGAACTTTCAGGTCTGAAAGCAACATAGAGCCGGGCTCAATGTTTTCATTTGTGGGGGAGTGAGAACCCAAAATTAAGGATGCATAATATCCTATTCTAGTCTTGTTCCACCTTCCACGTGCATTTTTTTCATGCCCGGTTCACGCTGCCTTTGAGTCGGAAAGTTTACCTCTGAAAGCAACAACAAAGTGGGGGACACTGTTTTCATTGTTGGGGAGAAAGAACCCTAAATTAAGGATGCAGAATATCCTAACATATTGTTGTTCCACCTTCCATGTGCATTTTTTTCATGCCTGGCTATGCAACATGGCAAGCCAGATTCCTGAATCCTGATGGGTCACGGTCATCCATGTAACTTTTTTTTTTGTGTGTGTGTGTGTTTCTGACAAGGTCCTGCCAGTGAAGGAAATGCCCGCGTGCGTGGCGGCGTGTGTGATTTTCTTGCCCTTTTCCAAACAAACCGCCAGTTACTGAGGACCTTGCCCAGGCAAAAACAAATTGCCCTCCGGTTGACACGGCGGCCAGCCCCGGGCACGTGCGCCGCACAGATGCATTCCAAATGCTCGGAGCGCAGGGCCTGCAGGCTACATATTATGGGAAAGGTACTGGCGGTTTCATATCATCCCTCAATGAGTCGGGGACATGTATATTAGAGAAAATGACTACATGGGCCTACTAGGAAGAGGATGCTAGTACTAGAGTTTGTTTCGGGGGAATGAAACAGGCAGACCAGCTTGTAATAACACCAAGGGCACAGCTTGCATATGACTGTATGCATGGGTGGTTCAACGTACAATACCCCTAACTACTTCATGTACACTGCCCTTTTCTCTCTTTCCTTTTTCCTTTTGTTTTTACTTCGGACTGCGCAAGCACTATCATGTTCTCTCATTATATCGTTCTTATCATTCGTAAGCCAGCATTGAAGGGAACGCAACGCAATCAGAGCGTACACCCCAATGCATCAGGGCAGGTTACCACAGACTGCAAAATGCGAGCTGAACCATACTAGGTACACAAAAGAGATGAAGAGGGATCATGAGGAGAGAGCGAGATGGTGAGGGAGAAGTAGCACACACACACAACTATTTTAACACCCACAACGTGACAAAAGGCCATGCCATTGGAAGGAAGTCTGCTGGAAAACAAAATAGCACTGAAATGAAATATAGCCGTGACAAGGCTGAGAGCGCCATGCTGGCGGTTCCGAAGTCCCCAGATTCGTTTGTTTTAAATTGTTTTTGTCCTCCGGGTCCTCCCTATCGTCCAGAATTCAGATTCATCCTGGAGGCTGGAACCGAGCGCCCCGGGGTCAAGTCCCACGTACCCTGATTCTTCATTTCTGGTCGCTGATCATCGTAATCTACGGTCAAGCGTTGAGAATTTCGGTAAGTGGGACTTGGCCCCCGGGCCCAGGTAATCCTGAAATGATCCAACTACTGGTTCCGTGTGAATACGAACTTACAATGTCATCTGCATTTCAGCATTTCATGGATGTACGGTGTAGTACCCACCACTGAACGAGGCGTGTAGTAGGTACTAGGTTTGTTTTTTGGCTTTCAGCCGGCTTTCAAATTGGCGTTGCATTGGCTTTCCTTTTGGGCTCTCTCACTCAACTTGTGTACGCTTACCTGCCACTTGGCTGAATGTCACACACACACATTTCTTTGCCAGCCAAGAAGCTCAAAAGTGGCTAGGGGTGTCACAGGATGACATTTTCCGTAGCCCACCCTTGCATTTTTGTAATCCACCCAGGCTTGCTCTTTTGCAACCCACCCTTCCATGTTTTGCAAACCCTTCAAGCCTTAGGGCCCATTAATTGGAGCCTAGTACCAGGACCCTACGGGTAGTACCCTGTGGAAACATGGCTTCTGAGCTTGTCTGTGCACTTGGGGATCAGGTGGAGATCAGCAGTAGGGTCTGGCAGAATGGCATGAAAACCAAATGCAATGATCCTCCAAGGGCAAGTTGAAATGGTGCAGGATCCGACGACAAGATCGTAGTACCACATCGTCATAATGAAAACCCCTCACTCGGAGGCCGCCTTGGAAGGATGCACATGGTGGCTGAATGTCGCCACATTATAGTCCAAGAGGCACTCACCAATTTCAACTTGCACTTCGTCAAAATGGACATTTTTTATTTTTTGAACGAAATTGAAACTGAGGTTTTTGGCCGAAAACCCGTCCAAATTTGCTGCTCCCGAGGGTCTGGCGTTCTGAAGATGCTGGACCCCCTGCGCCCCTGGATGTATGTGGACTTCGCTTGAGACCGGATACATCCAGGCAGTCCCGTCTGGATGTATCTGGTCTACATCCAGGGGGTGCAGCGTTTTAAGAACGCTGGATCCTCAGGAGCAGCAAATTTGGACGAGTTTCCGGCCAATAACCTCGGTTTCAATTTTGTTCAAGAAATTAAAAATGCCCATTTTGACGACAGGGCAGTTTTTTCACCTTTCGCCGCTTTCCATGTCGCTCATACAGAGTCATACTATTTCGTACTATGTTCTTTAATCATCATGATGCTTCTCAGACTGTTCCTGTCTATACTTCCACCTGGTCCACCTTTAAGTTAATTCCCATGATGTCCGCGTGTGCCGCGCTTAAACCACCAACAGTTTCATGTGCCGCGCTTAAACCACCAACAGTTCCAAAAGTCTTGGCTTGTTTACGCGTGCCGGGCTGAATGAGCCTGGCGGCTCTCAGCGGTCCAAAATCATTCAATGCATGTGGAAACGCCGCGGCTCTATTTCTCGCCGCAGCCGATGTATGGGCGAAGTACTGGTGGCTTAAGCCACCAGACTGGTGCAATGTCATCCAAGGAGTTAAAAATAGCTGGGCCGTGTACTTGTGGTTTTGTGGCAATGGTTGATGACTCAGAGGGAATCTGGCGCAAAGCCAAGCCAGTCTCAATTTCCTGAGACCACAAGCCAGCCAGGCCCAGCCTCTGTTTTTCGAGGGCCCAAGCCAAGCCAGGCTTGAATTCTCTGAGACTTTAAGACATCAAGCCAACCTGACGCTGAATTTTCTGAGGCCTCCACCCATGCCTAGCCTAACCTGAGTTTTCCTTGGTGGAGATTGGATGCGGGCCACAAAGGGCAACCCTCTCCATTTCAAACTGCACGACAGCCAGTAGTCAGCATCGGCAAGAACAAGGCCCTGTGGAATTGAAGGGCTTTGCAATTGCTGGTGAGCACCAGACACTAAGCAACAGCCGCTGTGGAATTGTATGGCCCCACTAGTGGTATTTTGGGAAAGACTTTTTTTGTCAAGTTCCACTTCCCTTCTTTTTCAATTTTTTGAAGTCCAGGTTGTAGTAGAGGTTGGATGTGAGGCCTTAAGGGCTGATCCCACCACTACACTACAGCCCAATTACAGTGTAGTTTTGAGATCCCACGACTTTCCAGCGTTGTCGCGGCCACTGGAATATTTTGCTTCAATTTCGTTTGGTTGTGTCGTGGCAGCACGTCCGGGAAGGGCGCAAACGTAGTTACTACAATTCTCGTGTAGACCGCGAGGGCTTCACAGCCTCGAAAAAGAGGGAGCAATTTTTGTTTTATTATTATTATTTTTGCTCGTCCGTTTGCAGCAGGAGGAATGTCCGAGGACCATGATAGTGTTGTGTGACATGTCGGTTGGTGGAGTCCGTGAAAACGTCCGCCCTGTATAGCAGCCCATAAAGAACCGCCGCGGGTCCAGGAAGACCACCGAAGAAGTCGGCCTCTTGAGATCCGGTTTCTCTTTTTTGCCCCGCCACGGCCGCTGACATCTTCGTAGTGATTTTTCGCGTCTAGATTCGTAGTGCAGTGGTGGGATCAGCCCCTCAGGGAACTACGATTTCGTCAAAACGGACATTTTTTTTTTTTGAACGAAATTGAAACTCAGATTTTTTGCTTTTTTTTTCATATTTTGTGTAATTTTGAGCTACGAAAAAGGGGGGTAAGGGGTAAGGGGTAAGGGGTCAGGGGTCA